CCCCAAAACCCCAAAACCCCAAAACCCCAAAACCCCAGCATAATTCTGGTTGGTTGATTCAATTAGTAATTATATTAAAGCTAAGTATATCATAAGATAGATACCTAGCACATAATGGCTCCTCAGTTAAGATTCTCTTAGCAGCTTGGCCAAACGGCTACTAACTACATCTTTCATGGTTGGTCTTGATGAATTCTGGAATAACTTATAGAAGTTTTACCTTCTGAGAACTCTCAGTTTCACTTTTATGACTTGTAGCTTCCTCATATACTGCATAGCTACGCTCCTAGATATTAATACTAAAGCATACCAGCTTATTTAATTAATGGTAGATCATCTATAAGTATTAGAGAAGGGTGCTCTCTGTGAATAACAGAGCTAGCTTTCTTACTATAACTGTCTGACTTTTCAGTCTCAGTGGGGAATATCACCTCTTTACGATTAGCTTTCTCTATGATCCTCTAAAAGTGTCATCAAAGTTTACTTTTTCACAATGACTTCTAAAGATTAAAATAAAACTTACAATTTGGGTGCTTGAGCAATATTGCTAAGACTAATAGTACTGATACTATTAGTTTCGAAATCTTTTTCATAAATTTTCCTAAAATGAAGACTGAAATTTACTTATTTTCTTCGAGCCAGATCCTTCTTAACTTGGCTAAGAGAGTCCTTGTATTCATTTCTCTTGGGGTTGTAGCTCTCATCTTCAAACAAGAGCAAGTTGTGAGTCACATACTCTTTAATCTGTCCTCTCTTAGTAGGTTTGGATACTGAAAATTTTGCACAAGACTTCATCTCAAATTTGTCCCTAATCGTTAGTCGAAACCTTACTTAGCAATTTCAATTGATTTTGTTGACGAATTAGCAATCTCTTTCTTTTCTTCTGGCATCACCTGATCTGACCCTCTACAGGAAGAAGCCTTCGACTTTTCTTTTAAAGGCCCGAAATTTGGAATGAGTAACTTTGTAGACTGGATTCTTTCTAAAAAATCTTCTCTTTCTGGTTCATTTTTGTTTTCCTCCTCGAAAGACTGCTTCAAAATATTTCAAAACTATATATATGATATTAAACTCCTGCTCTACCTCAGGCTTGATGGTTGTGATCCTTATCTTGAGATCTGGCAATTCAACAACTTTTCCCTTGTTCTTTAGCTGGTTTTTGTTCAGAATATTGAAATTATTTCGAATAATCTTCCTTCACTTTCCAACGAGCGCTTTTCATATCAAGGCTTAGGCGTCCGATTGAATCAAATCGGATGATATTTGAGGCATTCGGATTAGAACTATTTCTTTTGTTTTTACCCTTAAAATTTATTATAAGAAACTTACAATCTCAGGGAGCTTTGCATGTAAATTCCTCATTGAATCTGGTGCATTAAGTATACTCTTAGACCTCCTACCCACGACCTCATTTCCTGTGAAAGAAATAGTGATATTAGAATTTTTCAATCTCTTCTTCAAATTTTCAATATCCTAAAAATCTCAAATTTCTAAAAATACAAGTGATTTCCTGAGACCAGTGTCTTTGGAGTCTCTTCTCATCTTGCTTACATATTTACTAAACTCTTCTGCATGATGTATGGCATCTAAACTTATTAACTGTCCAGACTACCTGTCTGGTTATACTTCTTGTTCCTCCCTTGAACCAGATTTGATTTTTTCTTGTGATATAGCTTAGGCAAGCTAAACCCTTTGTGCATTTTTATAAATTTATTCTTTACAAAAAGACTCTAAAATGGGGTTTTGGGGTTTTGGGGTTTTGGGGTTTTGGGG